TGCTCATTTTTTTTTATTATTTAAACATTTCATCCTTTTTACACTTTTAAAAACTTCAACATTAAATTTAGGTTTTCAAAAAATACCTCATGGAATATTAATTTTATCATTTTGGAAAGTACTTTCCAAAACAGTGAAACTAGTGTGTCAAAAAGTATTTTCTAAAATTATTTTTTTTATATACTTCTAAAAAGTGTTTTTTTAGAACACTAAATTTACTGTTTCAAAAAAAACTTTTTAAGATTATGTAAAAAAAAACCTTCAAAAAACACTTTTCAAAATTTTTTATTTTTATATATTTTTAAAGAGTATTTTTCAAAATGCTAAAAATAGATTCCAAATATTTTTTTGAAAGTGTGAAAAAATTTTATATTAATCAAAATACCTCTGTCCTCCTTTGTCTACCATATATCGACCATGTAACGCGAAAAAATTAACTAACTATTTATTTATGTTGTATATAATTAATTTTAAATAAGATAAATGTAAAATATAATTTGACATATTAATTTGTACCTTGTATTGAATGTAGAAAAATAATGAAGATTAAGTGAAAATTAAGATTTAAACAACGACGAGATTAAAAGTGAAAATAGAATTTTTAAAAATATAAAAATAAGATATGATTGTAAGAGGAAAAAAATCTAAAATGAAAAAAAAATAATTTTAAAAAAACTTAAAATAGAATTTTAATTAGAATTTTAAAAAAATCCATTCTTTCTTGACTCATTATATATATATATAAAGGGGAGAAAGAATGGGTCCTTGCATCTTGGGTATTTAAAACTATTTTTTATTTTATATTTTTAAACTTGGTGGGCTCAACAGATTTTGGGTCCGAACTAGGTTTGGGTTGTTTAAAGACTAAGGTGTTTTTTTTTTCCTGTTCATTAAGAGCTGGTTTCCATTTTTTAATTTTTTTAATTTTTTTTATATAAGTTTCAAATCTATTTATACTGCGACGGTGGAAAAAAGGGTCTAATGTCTTCCTTTGAATACATAGTGTGCACTTATTGTTAGTTTCAAGAATAAAAATTTTATATATTTTTTGATTTTTTATTAATTATTATTAGAGAAGAGAATAGGATAATAAATACTTTTATTTGTTGACATAAGTGTATTCAAATATATTTTATGATTGTATTTTGCTCATACCTTTAGACTTACTAACTCTTGAGTTAGTTAAGTCCGTTAGGTATATATACAGATATACCTCTCTTGTATCACTTTATCAAATTCACTAATAATCAATAATATTTTTCTCTAAGAATTCTTTCTCTCATATGGTATCATTGTGAGCACGGTTCGTCCTGTTTCTCCGTTCCTGTTTCTCCGTCGTATTTGGCTCTTGTTTCTGTCGTTCCTGGCCCTTGCGCTGTCCACGATCATCGTTCATCTTTGTCATTGGTTGCGCGATTGTCGCGCATCGTCGCTTGCATCTCTTGCGCGCGATTCTCCTGCTATTGCTCGCGCGATTGACGCGCCTCTTCTTTGCTGTTCTTGCGCGTTCTTCGCGCCTCGCTGTTGCTGATTTCTTGCGCGTTCGTGCGCCCTTGCTGTTGTGCAAATTCTTGCCTACACTGATCCAATGGCCTCCTCCGCTTCGTCCTCTGATCATTCCGCTTCGCATACCTTCTCTCAGTCTGTTACGTGCAAATTGGATGACAGAAATTTCATGACCTGGCAGCAACAGGTCACTGCTGTGATTCGCGCTCATGACCTCGAACGCTTTGTTGTCAATCCAAAAATTCCACTCAAGTTCTTGACTGCTGAAGATCGTGACTCCAACACCATCAACCCTGAGTACACTGTCTGGGACCGCAAAGATTCTTTACTCTTTTCTTGGCTGCTCTCGACTCTTTCCGAGTCCATTCAGGCTCGCGTCATTTCTTATCGGCACTCTTATCAGATTTGGGACCTTGTCTTTCAGCATTTTCACTCCCTCACCAAAGTCAAGGTTGCTCAACTGCATCCTGAACTTCGCACAATCAAGAAAGGGACACGATCATGCTCTGAATATCTCCTTCGCATCAGTACCATTATTGAAATGCTTGCTTCAGTTGGCAGTCCTGTTTCACCCCGTGAGCATGCCGAATGCATCATTGGTGGTCTTCCTCCTGAATATGACTCGCTAATTTCCGTAGTTACCGCCTTTGCTAGCAGGGATGACACCTTTTCTCCTGCAGAACTTGAGAATGTAATTCTTGCTCAAGAAGCCCGTCTAGACCAAGCAAAAATTGTTGTCCTTCAAGAACCCGCCACAATCAACCTCGCCCAAACCGTTCCTGTTTCTCAAGTGCCTCCCAATGCCAATATAGCCTTCCAACAACCCCAGCTGTCTCATCCCCAAACTAATACGTACCAGAATTTTCCTACTCAGACCAGAGAAGGTGGTCGCGGTCGTCGTGGTGGCAGAAATCGTGGTTCTCCAGTTCAATGCCAAATTTGTCACAAACGTGGTCATGAAGCCTCCACGTGTTATCAGCGATTTACTCCAATGCTTGCTCCTTATCCTACTTTTGGCTCTGGTCCTGTTTTTCCTTCTCGTCCTAGTGCTGCTCCACAGTTTGGCACCACAAATATGCTTGGTTTCTCTAGTCAAGCTTCGCTGCCTCCCTACACCATGGGTGGCTCTTTTGGGTCTACTTCTTATCTGCCACCACCTAAGTTCATTCTTCCCACTCAGCAAGGCTATTCTGGTGCTTCCTCCTCTTCTCCAAGAGCCGCGCCAACTCTGAATACTGCCACAGCTTGGATCCCTGACTCTAGTGCGTCCCATCATGCCATCCCGGATCCTCAACACCTTCTTCAAAGTGCTCAGTTCACTGGAACCGAGCATATTGCCATGGCCAATGGTCAAGGTACATCTATTACTGCAATTGGCTCTAATGTGTTTAGGTCCCCACTTAATCCTTCCACTGTTCTATGTCTTAAAAATCTCTTACTTGTCCATACTTTAACGAAAAACCTGATCAGTGTCTCTAAATTTGCCAAAGATAATAATGTCTATTTTGTGTTCTACCCTCATTCATGCCTTGTCAAATCACAGGATTTGAACGAGACTCTTCTTGAGGGCAAGCTTGGTGAAGATGGTCTCTATCATTTTCATCCAGTTTTTGCAAAGACTAATTCCAACTCTGGCGACAATTCCAAGCATCTTGCTTTTCCTAATTCTGCACCTTGTATATTTGTTTCTGAACAGTGTAAAAATGTTGTTTCCAATACTTACAAGCAGTGGCATTTACAATTAGGGCATCCCCATCATGATGCACTAATCAAAGCTCTACAATTGTGTAACATTCACATTCCTCACATTAATAAAACTTCCAACTTTTGTGATTCATGTTGTGTGGCTAAATCTCATAAATTTCCTTCTAAAACCTCCACTACTGTTTATTCCAAACCACTTGAACTTGTTTTCCTTGATGTTTGGGGACCTGCATCATTAGATTCCAGTTGTGGTTACTTGTACTTTTTGACGTGTGTTGATGCTTGTACTAGATATGTATGGATCTATCTTCTTCACCGAAAGTCAGATGTTCTCTCTCACTTTCTTAACTTCAAGGCACTTGCGGAAAAACAGTTTCAAACTCCACTCAAGGCTGTTCAAACCGATGGTGGGGGTGAGTTTCCTCCCTTAATCCCGTTTTTACAGAAAGAAGGCATCGTTCATCGACTTACCTGTCCATACACTCATCATCAAAATGGCATGGTTGAAAGGCTCCATCGGCATATCTTTGAACTGGGCCTGGCTATGCTTCATCATGCTTCGTTACCACTTAAATTCTGGGATCATGCTTTTCTGACTGCTGGCTATCTCATTAACAGGCTCCCTTCCTCCTCTATTGATCATCATTCACCCTACCAACTAATTCACCACAAAGAACTTGATTACCAATTTCTGAAAATTTTTGGCTGCTCCTGTTTTCCGTTACTTAGACCCTATAATCAGTATAAGATCCAACCCCGGTCAGAGGAGTGCCTCTTCTTGGGCTATTCTCTTACTCACAAAGGCTATAAATGCCTAAGTAAGTCTGGTCGCATCTACATCAGCAAAGATGTAGTATTCAATGAAAACAGATTTCCCTATCTTGATCTTTTCGTCTCCAAATCTGTCTCACCTGCTCCCGCCACCTCTGTGTCCAACATTCCATCCCTTATCAGTCCTCCCACTCTCTCCTCCTCTAACCCTTCTCAACTTGCTCTACTTGAGAGCTCTGCTTCCTCAGATTATGGTTTCCTACATTCTCAGTCTGCATCTGTTGATTCACAACCTTCCTCATCCATTTCATCACCCAATACTTCTGCTGCTGCCTCTGGTTCAACTTCTGAACCAGCCAGACCCCTTAACCTTCATCCAATGACCACATGTTCCAAAAATGGTATTGTTCAACCCAGACTAAACCCCACACTTCTTCTTTCCCACGTTGTGCCCAAGACAGTCAAAAATGCTCTAGCTGACTCTCATTGGCTTGCTGCCATGCAAGCTGAAATCACAGCCCTACATAACAACAACACCTGGACGTTAACTACTCTCCCTCTTGGCAGAAAACCCATTGGTTGCAAATGGTTTTTTCGTGTCAAGGAGAACCCTGATGGATCAATAAATAAATTCAAGGCTCGACTAGTTGCAAAAGGCTTCCATCAACAACCCGATTTGGACTTTTCTGAAACTTTTTCTCCTGTTGTAAAACCTGTAACAATTCGCATTGTTCTTTCTCTTGCTGTCTCCTTCCGGTGGCCTCTTCGACAACTTGATATCTATAATGCCTTTCTCAATGGCATGCTTGAGGAGGACATCTATATGTCTCAACCCCTGGCTTTGTTGACTCTGCCAATAAAAGTCTTGTTTGTAAATTACACAAATCCCTCTATGGCCTCAAACAGGCTCCTCGCGCATGGTTTGACAAACTCACGTCTTACTACTCATGCTTGGATTCAACAAAAGCAAGTGTGACCCTAGCCTCTTCACTTTCTCCACATCCGATGCAACTGTTTTTATGCTTGTCTATGTTGACGATATCATTATCACTGGAAATTCCCCTTCCTTGCTACAAAAATTTGCCACTCAACTCAATGCTACCTTTTCTCTTAAAGATCTTGGCACTCTGGACTACTTCTTAGGCATTGAAGTTAAATCTCTCTCTCACGGAAAGTTGCTACTCTCCCAAGATAAGTATATCACTAATCTTCTTACTAAGGTCAAAATGGAAGATTCAAAAGGCATCTCCACTCCTATGATTGGTGGCCAACAGCTTGCTAAAGGTGGTACTCTATTTGATGATCCTACGTTGTACAGGTCCGTAGTTGGTGCATTGCAGTATGCCACAATTACGCGGCCTGAAATTGCCTTCAGTGTCAACAAGGTAAGTCAATTCATGTGCTCTCCCATGGAAGAACATTGGAAAGTTGTCAAACGTATTCTTCGATACCTAAAAGGAACTGTTGGTCATGGACTTGTGTTCTTGCCTGCAAAGCACACTGCTCCCTTCAATCTCACTGCCATCACTGATGCTGATTGGGCGTCTGATCCAAATGACCGAAGATCAACTTCAGCAGCATGCATCTATCTTGGTCCTAATCTTGTGTCTTAGTGGTCCAAGAAACAACTACTTGTTGCCAGGTCCAGCACTGAAACTGAATATAGAGCCTTAGCTCAAGTTGTAACTGAAGTTTTGTGGATTCAGTCACTGCTGAAGGAATTAAAGGTTCCTTTAAACACTCCTACTGTACTTTGTGACAATCAAAACACTGTTGCGCTCTCGCAAAACCCTGTTTTACATGCAAGATCCAAGCATATGGAGCTTGATATCTTTTTTGTTCGTGAAAAAAGTGCTCAACAAGTCCCTTATTGTTTCGCATATACCTGCCCAACATCAGTTTGCAGATGTTCTGACCAAGGCCCTGTCTCCCAAGCGGTTTCTTCTTCTTCGCTCCAAGCTGAATGTTGCTTATCCATCCACTTTGTTTCATCCCCCTTGAGCTTGTAGGGGTTGTATTAGAGAAGAGAATAGGATAATAAATACTTTTATTTGTTGCCTTATTTACGTGTATTCAAATATATTTTCTGATTGTATTTTGCTCATACCTTTAGGTTAGTTAGTTAGTCTGGCTGACTTACTAACTCACTAACTCTTGAGTTAGTTAAGTCCGTTAGGTATATATACATATATACCTCTCTTGTATCACTTTATCAAATTCACTAATAATCAATAATATTTTTCTCTAAGAATTCTTTCTCTCATAATAATAATAATAATAATAATAATAATAATTATTATGTAATTCATACAGTTTTTATATTAGAATCGCCTTTATATATTTATAGATACAAATGAAAAATATCCAAATAAAAACTTTTTTCACATGTCAACACCAAATCCATTGTAGCCTAATTTACTTTTTGCAAACTCTTTCCAATTTAAGATGTTTTGGCTGAAAAAATTGGGTTTGTGCTTCACAAAAGACAAACATTTTAAAGTACGATACTAACGGGGAAAAAAATGTTATATACATTTCTAATTTTGAAATTCAAAATATATTATTTAAAAAGTAAAATTACTTTTGAAGAAAAAAAAAACTCTTTATTTCCACAAATACGAAAGATCATGCGGTTATCCTATGGAGGGCGCGTGACTTGTATGCTTACACTATGCTTCCTAATATTATATACAAAGAGCATGTAGACAACCGACGAAAATTATTGGCTTAACTTTTTCTCTTCATCGTAAGTTATTGACTGAACAAAGTTTACATAAAGTGAAAAGCTTCATTAGGTAATTGGTTTAGGTGTTTTATTTTTATTTTTTTTACTTTTTTATTCATCTTACTTTACATGTTTTCTCCTTCATCCTATTTTTAATTTACTTCTTCCTCTCTTTTCTCTTTTTAAAATCTTTCAATCTTTCTTCCTTTAGATTTTTTGTGTGTGTTATATTTTCAATTTTTCAATAGATTAAAAACAAAATTGAATATCTACATAACTCATGATAAGAGGCATTTCCACACTTTCGCCAAAAGGATAGATTTTTGTTTTATTTTTTAAAAATTTATTTGGTCATGTGTTGATTATTTGTTCATACTAAGATTGATGTCCTACAAAATCAAACATAGACTCAGCAAGAACAAATGATCCTATTTTTAATTTGTAATTTAGCTAAAAATTCTAATATTTATGTTGATTCTCATATTTATTTCATAATATATCCACAAAATTATTGAAATGGAAATGAAATGAATTATAACCGTAGAAAAAAAAACTTATTTTTAAAGATATTTATCATACACAAATAATATGTTATCATTAAATAACAAATAATACAAACAATTATTTTTTATATAAAAATCCAGCCTATTTTATTTAAATGCATGAGAAATCCTAAGAATCCATAAGTACTCATCGAAATAGTTGTATTAAAAGATGGTGAAAATGTAGTTATGAAATAATAGCATTTGAATATTGAAAAAGAAGTTTGTATCAAGAGAAATAGATTAAGGAGACACATGATTATGATGGATATCTTTAAAATAGAGGGTAATTTAGTAAATTGAAAGAGATATTGGGGCAGCAGAAAGGGTATAGAAGAAAGGAGAGAGTGAAGAGTGTACACTACACAACGCAACTCTATCTCTTCTCTATCCATCTCTTGCCTCTGGACATGGCTCTGTCTTTTGGTCTCTTCTCTTCCATTCTCCCACCAGAAACCACTTTGAGGGCTCCTACTGCTTCTCTTTCTCCTCATGGCTTGCGCATGCTGCGAACCGTTACCTTTGCCACCATCTCTCAGTCTGACCCACCCACTCGCAAAATCCGCGGTATCATGAAACCCCGCAAGGTGTCCCCTGAGATGGAAGCCCTTGTCGGCGTTCCCGAGATTTCTCGAACCCAAGCTCTCAAACAGATTTGGGCATACATTAAGGACAACAATCTTCAGGTACCCTACCCTAAAAACCTAATCTTTTCTTTTCCAATTTCTCACGCTTCTTTTCAGGTACCCTGCACAACTTTATCTCTTTACCACTGTCAAAATGCATTTCTATTTTTATTTTTTGCTGCGTTCTCGAGTTGTAATTTTCTTGCTTATGAATTAGTTTTACAGGACTTCTATCACTGCTCTGTTTTGCACACGTTCGTTTTTGTTTTCTTTATTGATGACGAAGATAAAGTGTTGTGTTAGGGTTCTGCATTTGTATGCTTGATTGTTATTTTTATCTTAAGCGAGAGTTTAAGATGTGACGAGGGGCATGGCATTAGTATTCTCACTCTCTCAGTTCAGTTTTGAACTCAACATTTAGCACTTCTTGTATCCTAAAGAAACCGACTGTTACACTTACATGGCCATTGACAATATTTTATTTGTTATGATTCTTTACCCGTGCCTGACCTTTTATAAAATCTTTCGAAACACTTTTTGGGAAAATTAATTCCTCTTTACACAAAGTATTAATCTATCTGCTATTCCACTTTCATTTCGTTGAATGTGCATTTCTGTTTAGCTGATATCATGGTTGATGTCGAGGAATTATGTTGTCAGTTTTGGATTCATCTAAAGTTTCTCGGTTATTGATGATAGATATTTGCTGTTTTTTACTTGAAGGCATATGCTACATGTGTATAACCTTTGATTTTGGTTTTGTCTAAATTGTTACTTGTATTCTGATAGGATCCTGAAAACAAGAGGACTATAAATTGTGATGAGAAGCTGAAGAAGGTGTTTGCAGGGAGAGATCAAGTTGGTATGCTAGAGATTGCTGGTTTGATTAGCCCACATTTCCTTAAAAGTGAAAGTTAAGGTTTTGTGTGCTTTGGTGTATTGAACAATTAATTACATTTGGGAGTATTATGTCATGCGACATGGTAGCGTGTAGTTTTTAGTACTTTGAATACAGAACGAGCATTGTTGAAGAGTTCGTTTTGAGTGTCGTAGTCTCTTCAACAAGCGTTAGTAATTTACCTAGTAGGTTTCTATTTGACATTTTAAATATTATGATGTTATGTTTTCTTGGTTATTCTGCTGTTCTTTTGTGAATCAACACGTTCTTCTTTTTGGATGTGTGTACAGTTTGTGCTGGTTTCACAACCGGGTAATGCGGTAAGTAACCAGGAGGCTCCATTGAAAAAAAAAAAAATGATATGCGTTGGAGGTTTCTTGTGATGATTATATTAATGTTTCGAGTAAGGTTGGAATCGCAGAGTTGGCCTGGTAAGGCCACAAGTGGGCAGTTTGAGTAGGTATGGAAAGGAGAAGGTCTGATCTTGTACCATTGCGTCCTTGGCAAGAAATTTAGAGTTGACTGATCATAGAAACCTTGAGATAACTGTAACAACGTGCGTTACAATTCATTTGGTAGCTTATTTTATGATAAGGCAGTTAATGAAATAACATAGAAATAATGGCTGAAGAGATGCCAGGCCCTATAGGAGACAGAATTAATGTTGAATGCCTTCCCCCTCCCCTTCTAACCCTATAGGCAAGGTTAACAAATGTTACATAAATTAATAATTTATTAATGATTACACACCACAATGACATGGGTGTCAACAGTTAAATATACCCTATTTATGCGTGAAACACTGAAACGGTGTCCATTTGAAGGCATGGTAAGTTGCAATTCACGGAGATAAGAGATAAGTGAAAATCGTAAAGATATCCTGGTCGAACATTGAAAAGTAGTGTCCAACATAAAACCACTGCTTTTTTTAGCAAGTATAGTTGATTTAATAAACGAGAAGGCCGTGTAGGAGTTTTTTATATTTATTTTTTGGATCAATTCCTCTGTTTTTCCCCCCCAATCAATAGGCTGTTTAGGTAAATTGACTTATGTTCTAAAGTTCAAATAAGAAGCTCGAAAGAGGTTACGTGAAAGATTTTCTTATTAATTTTGGTAAAAATCGTTTTAATAAGAATAATGGTTGAATCAATAAAAAATAATAGGTTTCTTAAGAATGATCTTGTTTGGAGAGATAAATCTCACTTATGTGATCTCTAAGTCTCCAACCATCAATTTGGAGATATTCTTAGTTCACATCCAAAAGAAAAAAAAAAAGAAAGGATTATGCATTCAATTTTAAAATTTAGAAAAGTTTTGTTGTTATTGTTTGGGTTAAGCTTGGGAAGTTAAAATGGAAAGACAGGTTAACAATGTGTCTGGGTTTGGATTGATAGTAAAAATGTATAATGTGTGCAAAAATTATAGTGAAATTAACAGAAGCAAAGAAATCACAGTGATTAGAGTGTTAAGAAACATGCAATAAAATGAGTAAATAAACGAAGAGGATGTTGGAGTTAGCCCTGCACGATAATAATTGGACGAGAGCGAATCTACGTTGGTATCCATTTTAAAATGAGGAATGCTACACGTTCTCAAAAAGAATCGAACATGGTCCGAAATTTTAAAATATTTATATTTTATAATAAATTTATTATAAAGTAATTATTTAATTTAATATTTTATAATTTAAATTAAATTTTTTTTGTCGATTTAGAATAAATTTCGGAGTTTGAATTGGGGAAGACATAGAATTTTTCTTTTTAAAATTTTATTTGAGAGAAAAGAAGTGAAGCTGCGCGGGACACATGGTGAAGGAGAATTGGAGAAGTTTCCAATGAAATATCTGAAAGAATAAATTTAAGTAAATATATGTAGATAAAATAAAAATAGGCAGTGAATAAAGCGAAAAGGTTTAAAAATAGATTATATGAGAGGAACAAAAAAATCTAAAAGGAAACAAGTGAAGCAGCGACGAGGATGGAGATAGTAGAGAAAGTGGCTCTTCCTCTGCTCCTCCCAAACCCACCATTAAAACACAATTGTGTGGCCTCAGCCTCAGCCTCAGCGCCCTCAGTGAGCACTCTTATCCATGATCTCAATTCGAATTCGAATTCACAGTCCCGGCAGCGCGTGAGCCTGGGCAGGTCCTCCGACCCCAACCGCGGCAAGGCATGGTCTCCTCACCGGCTCTCTCCTCGAGGTCAGCATATTCTCCACACCTTAACCTTAACTCATTCCAATCCAACCTTTGACTTAGACCATATTCTGCGTCCTCTTTTCGACCTTCCCAATCCCTCTTCCGA